AGAGGCCTCCAAGAAGCCCACAAGGTGCTCCCAGCAGCCTCAAGCACTTTCAGAAAGGCCATCAATAGCTGCTGCTTGTCCTCCTCCTTTTCTTCCTCGCTCGTCTTTCCCGACCTCAGTGAGTTGCACTCTCATCTTCGAGACGGCCCCCAAGACGACCACCAGGGCCCCAAGACGGCGTCCAGGGAGCCTCACGAAAGCCCAGTGGGGCGCGGCAGGGCTGGGTGACCTCTTCGAAGGGCGTCCAGGGGGCCCCAAAGACCCCGATCCCGGGGGTTGGTTTTTTGGTGGGGAGGGTCTGTTTCCGCCCCCCGGCTTGTAATCATATAGGGAGCGGTGTAGATGTATAGCTGTATATGTTTATGTACATGTGTATGTACATGTGTATGTACGTGCGTGTAGCTGCACATGCGTAATTATGTATAGATGTATGCGTATGCGTATGTGTATGTGTGTGAATGCATGCATGCATGTATGCATGTATGTATGCATACATGCATATATGCATACAGGTATGTATATATATATATATATATATATATATATATATATATATATATATAGATCAGTGCACGTACCTGTATGTGTTTACGCAACCATTTGTGTATATGTATACGTACATATAAAGGTGCATGGGTATGCTGATGTAGGCATACATGTGTTTGTGTATATATGCATGGCGACGCATGCATATATGTATGTATGCAAGTACGTATGTATGTTTGTAGATTGACATGGTAGGGTATGCATGCATGTAGGTGTGTATACATGTCTGTATGCCTGCATGTGTGCATTAATGTGTGTATTGTTTACGTATGTTTGTATGTCTGGTTGCATGCCTGTTTGTAGATATGCATGCATGCAGGTTTGCATGTATGTAGGCATGCATATGTGTGTATATGTGCGCATGCATGTATGCATGTACGTATGCACGCATAGCATGCATGCATGCATGCATGCATCATTTTAGGACTGTGTGCATGTGGATACGTGCATGTATACATGTACGCAGGCATGTCTGTCTGTCTGTCTGTATGTGTATATATGTGTGTGTATATATATATATGTATGTACGTATGTATGTTTGCATGCATATATGTATGTATGCATGTATGTATGTATGTATGTATGTATGTATGTATGTATGTATGTATGTATGTATCCACGCTGTATGGATGTGTGCGCATGTGTATGTTTACATGCATGTACGCATGTCTGTATGTATGCACACATGTATGTAGGTATGTATGTATGTGTGTATGAATGCATGTATGTATGTATCTATGCATGCATGCACGCATGTACGTATTTCTGTGCGTATGTACGTATGCACATCTGTATGTATGTTTGTATGTCTGTATGTATGTCTGACTGTATGTATATATGTATGTTTGTATGCACGTTTGTATGCATGCATGCACGCATGTATGTATGTATGTATGCATGCAGGTATGTATGCATGCATGCATGTATTCATGAATGCATGTATGTCTGTATGTATGCATTCATGCATGCATGTCTGTCTGTCTGTCTGTATGTGTGCATGTATGCATGTCTGTCTGTCTGTCTGTCTGTCTGTCTGTCTGTCTGTCTGTCCGTATGTCTATCTGTCTGTCTGCCTGCCTGCCTGTCTGTATGCATGCATGTATGTATGTATATTCATGTATGTATGTATGTATGTAGGTAGGTAGGTAGGTAGGTATGCATGTATGTATGTATGTATGTATGTATGTATGTATGTATGTATGTATATCCGAGTGCGTTGCAATAGTAGCTGCTTGCGCGCCTGGGTTTGGCCTCCCCGCGGCCCCCAAGAAGCCGCGTACCAAAGGCCACTCTTGCCCAGGGTCACTCTTACGTGTAGCCGACCGAACGACGGTGCTCCGGGCTCTCCCCACCTACCGACTGAGGAGCCTCCAAGCTGCGTGGCGCCTGGGGGGGAGGCGACGCCCGCGACCTGCTGGCCAGGGGGGGCTCTTCAGCCGCTGCTCCTTCTCTCTGGGGCTCTAGCCTAGTAGGGGATCGACTGCAGAACTGATTTACCCCAACATTGACTCTCGATTCGAATCAGCGAAAGTACGTGGAATGCCAGTATGCCTCTTGCACACTCGACGAGGACACTCATCCTGGGGCAGATCCATTCTGCAGTCCATCCCCTGCTCGACCTGTGCGGCGGCCTTCGCGGGCACGCCAGGCCCTCCCCACTCACCAGCTGAGGAGTCTCCCAGCTGCGCGCGGGCTGCCCCAATGCCCCCCCTTCGGTCACGGCAGGCGTCCAAGCGGCGTGTGCGCCCCCGCCCCCTCCGGTGCTGCGCGTCGCTCCTTCGCGGGAGGACTCCCCCCGCGGGACGGCGCGGGCCGCGCGGAGGCCCCGTGCAGCGTCCCCGCGTGCGCTCCTGCCCGCGGCGGTCGCTTGTCGGGGGGGGGGCCTCCTGCCGCTTTCCCAACACAGCGGCCTCCCCCTCTCATTATCCCTTCTCTTCGTCGTCGCCTTCTTCGT